AAGCTAGTTTTGGGAAAAGAGGACCTCAAGTGGTAGCTGCTTGTAACTGGATGCACAAAACAAATATTGCCATTAGTAATTCCAATTCTTCCAATTATTTCAGGGTTTTTTGGTATACACACACAGATGTTTTTGTCCTCTAAGTACATGCTAAAGTCTAAGAAACTGGTATATCAAGACTTGCTAATATTAAGGTTCACAATAGCCATATCCACCCTTGAGACACTGACTTGGTTCAATGACAATTGTGTAGTTACCATGGCTCACAGTTGTTTACCTCAGTGAGAGTTTCCATGGTGGAAACTCTCCTCTCTCCTTCCCTCTCAGTCCTGCAGGCAGCATTGCGGGAGATGCTGCAGGAAGGCCTGAGGCTCCTCTTTGCCAGCACAGCTGTGGGCTGGGATCCGCTCACTGTGGATGCCAGTAAGTCTCTGTTTTGCAAGCAGGGTGCATGCCCTGAAGCACAGCATCAGGCCCCTCCCCTCCTGCTCCAGAGGGGACTATGCCAGCAGGAGTGGGGTGCCTGGTCCATGCTCAGGCAAAAAGGGGGATCAGCAAAGGGAAGCGGCAGCACTGAGCTCTGCCCCCTTGGCACCCGGGGGAGGCCCCTCGTGCGTGACCCTCGGCGCCTGCTTCGCCTCTCCAGCATGCCTGAGCAAGGAAAGGAAACAAGACCCAGTAGCCCCTTCGTCACTGCCCCTTGCAAGAGAGACTCTCTGGTGGCAGGGGAAGCGGCTGAGTGTTCATCAGGGGCTGCCTCCGGCGCGTGAAGGAATCAGGAGGGCAGCGCTGCTCCTTCTGCTGCACCAGCCAGCTGATCAGCTGCTGTTAGGCCAAAGAAGACCTTCAGAGCAGGAGGCAAGCAAAGCAGAGACACCTCTGAGAGCTGAGCAAACCAACAGCTGCCCTTGACTCTCTTTGGCTGCCCATTGGGCAAGAGCAGAAACGGGCCACCATAGCCAAGCAACCCTCTGGTTCCGGACTTGGTTACCACAGTGAGCTGTGCCTTCTGGTTTTGGACAACACAACAACCCATCATGGGATCAAGACTGTTGCTTCTGTTTGTGGTTTCTAAAACCAAAGATACCATGCCAAAATACCACAGCGAGCTTTAGACAACCCAAGAGATAAACATTGGTAAAAAAACAAAGCAAAAAACACTGTACTTTATGTCATGCAAATCTGCCCACTGTGTGTTGCATTGTTTAAAGTTCAGCTATGTGCAACACAATCTCAAAGCAATGAGTACAAAGTTTGTACCAGCAAATGTGTTACAAACAGACCTCTGCTCTTAATGCATCAGAAACCATAGACTGGATTTTCATAGGAATACATTTTATGTATTCAACATGTTATATTCTTTAACTTCAATATGCATGATTTACAGACATAAATGTGTGTTCTCTCCTTTAAAGCTGTAAAAGGCTTGGGGCACAGGTTCCTACAGACGAGTTTTCCCCAACCGGATGACATCCAGGGGTGTGGGTGCAATTCTCATCATTTTCAGTGCTGGCTGGGACTTTGTAGGACTTGTAAACATGCATAAGATTGCTCCTTAAACATTTTAATTCACTGTATTTGACCTCTTGCTTTTATTTATTTGATCAGATTTTAGTTTGTTTTAGTGATTGCTCCATTGTAATGTTGTTTTTATTTTTTATCAAGCCACAGATAGGAGGAGAGGAGAAGAGTTCAAAAAAGGTCTTGTTTCCTGCTAAGTGTTCTTAGGATTATAAAGTCTGTTCTTCAGTAACGTGGTTCTTCAGTAACTGCTACCCTGACTTTGAGAATGAGCAGCCCTTGCCACACACACAATATCTTCCTGATTAATTAGCAACATTCAAGGGACAAGAAATAAGATGTCAGAAATTACTGGTATATGATATACATGAATTCACTATGTGGATTCACCCCTCCAACACATACAAATTTTCCCTAGACCAAATCAGCAAAGGCCTTCAGCAGTCTAAGTGGCAACAGCATCTCCTACCTCTTCAGTTTTCCCACTCTTTCCAATTCAGATTTCCTATTCACCGGCCCTCTCTTTCTCAGTCCCACCCCTTTGGCAGAGTCAATGTTTCACAGGGGTCATACAGACTAGGATGGAATCACTGCTAATGGCCTCAGAATCATGCCCCAGGTATTAGCATCACAAGCAGCACACATGCTGTTTCAAACTGTGGATGGGGTTACCTTTGATTGCTCACCCACATTAAAGACAATAACAACCCCTATGCATTGGAAGCTACTGCGGCAAGGAGATCGTAGCCCAGTCTGCTCCCAGATGTGCTACTTTTCTACTTTAGAGGAGTTGTTTAAAAAGAACACTGCACTGTGCGCTCAAAAAGGTGATATTCCACCTGCAATTTGAAGTAGTACAGCCCAGGTAAAGACTAGTTCTACAGTTGATAGCATGCAACCTCAGAACTACCTGTAGTTGTGCAGCTGCTCTATTTGAATTTCAGGGCCTTCGTTCTTATCTAAGGTTTCCATATATGTTAATGTTTACAGTGGAATACAATACTAGCATAATGATGCAGCTATCTCTCGAGAATAATGCCATTTTCTTTTTTGCTACACATTAAATCATACTAGATAAGACATGGCAACACTAATTCAAGTTTGGAAAATACGTAGAGCACGAGGGAATGTCCTACCTCAACTAAATTCAGCTCTGTTGTGCAAACACAAAGCTAATTGCAATAGAGAAGTCAAAGCAAACAAAGAGTTGGGCACAGTTTACTGGATAATCATGGATTTTCCAGAGAGAAGTCAAGATGCAGCCAAGGTTAGCCATATGAGAGAGAGTCAAGTATAATCAGAATTCCAAAAAGCAGCATCAGGAGGCAATCCAAAGGCCAATAACACAGAGGTCCAAACAGAGGACAAGGTACACAAAACCGGAGCTGCAACGATGGCATTATTTCCTTTGACTAACGGAATCTATACCACATACATCCATACACTAAGGGTAATAGAGAATGTGTGTTATCAACAGCCACTCTTGGCCCATAACTCAGTCAGCTCCCTTCTTCTTGCACTCTCCCCTTCCTCTCCACCTGTACAACAGACAACATGTATTCCTTCTCATCTAGAAGCAAGTAACTTAGCTCATGCCTTTGCTTGCTTGCTTGCTTGCTTGCTTATGTGCACCCAACTTTAGCGGTGCTTGCAGTAGCCTCCTTCAACAACATGTATATAAAACTACTAATCTGCTAGATTGAGTTGAACTTTTGTAAGCTGGCCCATTGTAGGTAATTTAGCCTCCAGTGAGCCACAGGGCTTGCTGGGTGCTTCTGGCTACCATGGTAAATATGTGTCCCCCAGCAGAGTTGCAGCATGTTGTCCAAACCCAGCCACTGTGGGTTCTTTGAGGGTTAAACAACCTTCCTATAACTCACTCTTTGTACTATTTATTTAAGTAGAGAGATCAGTGTAGCTGCCCTGAGGCAATAGCAGTTAGGATCTCAAAAAAGACAGCTGATACTCTTCAGCTGGAGTTAGAATGGCTTAAGAAAGTCAGGTGATGGGCAGGCTCCTCTTCCAGTGGGGAAGGAGTTAAGGAGCTCCTCCTGTGAAGCAGGATAGCAGCTTGTGGTAGGAGCTGGTCTGAAAGGGGGAGCTGACTGTGCCCTCGGCTAGAAATAATGTGGGTTCCCCTAGGAAGGGAGCTAGGATAGTTGGGGGCATAAATGCCACTAAGCTCCATGTTGAGCTCAGGCTGTATATATGTGCAATTTAAACTTATATTAAAGAAGTGCCAAAAGTTTCTCTCTCTTAGGAAGAGATCTCTGAGACTGGGCTACCTGGGGTTGAGCTGGGAGCGCTGGCAAGGGATTTCTCAATTCCTAGCTGTGTGGATGGCTCTGGTTTCATAAATAATGCTTGGGGATGTGACTAGCCTGCCCAGGCTTAATGCTAGGTATGTCCTACAGTTTTGAACTTTGGCCATCCCTCAAGAGTAGCTGCTCCTTGAGGACTTGCTGTTAAATTTTAATAGCTTAAATCAAGCTCTGTGAATCCCCTGTAGTTTAATCAACCAGTTTGCCCAAGCAATTTAGGGCTTTACCGAGCTGTTTACTCAGAAGGAAGTATCCTTGATAATAAAGGGGATTACTCTGAGGTAGGGGTGTGCAACATTAAAATGAATTTTTAAAATCTCTTTGCAGTGCTAGACTTGCATGCATGGGAGTAAACTCTGTTAAGCTATATGCATCGCAGGTTCCTTTAAAATCATGCAGCTTCTCTCAATCATGTGTCTTCTGAATGTTTTGGACTTCAATGCCCATCAGTGGCAAGCCACCTTGTCCAATCCTGGGAATTGTAATTCAAAACTCCTGGAAGGCATCAGCTTGGGGAAGACTGCTTTGCAATATATCCAGCATACATGCCTAGACAGCTAAGCTGTTTCATTATTTATTTCTATGTCTTCATTCTTATACATATATGTCTGTGTGTGTTAATCAAGCTTACATATTTTATTTTATAATATTTACAATTAAGGAATATTATGAATCCTTCTGAACATGCAGTAGAGTAAAATGCATAGGACTAATGTGTGCTATATTTGAATGCCAGTTCAGAAATCCTGCCCATTCCTATGAATAGTGGAAGGAACAAATGTATGTTAGTATGTCCTGCTTGAGATGGTTTATATTTCGGATCATCTGTTTTTGCCCAACGTTAATCGAACCATCAAAGTGAAGGAAGGGCACAAGCCTCTCCTACCTTACCTTTCTGAATCGGAAAATGGGTGAGGGAGAACCAGGGTCAATCGGATGATAACCTGGATCTCCTTGAGAGGTGAACTCTATGCAGAGACTGCCTTTTCACAGCGATCAGATCGCACAGCCATACCTCCTGGCGCAGTCCCGGACCAGGGAGGGCGCTCTCGCATGCGAAGGCCTTGGAGGGCGCCCCTTCGTGGCTTCTCTCTGGTGCCGCTTTCGTTTCCGCCTTTCCTCAGTGACGGGCGTGAAGGCAGAAGCGGCGCCACGCTTCCGCCCGGGATCTCCCGCCGCCCTTTGGAAGGAGGCGTCGCGCAAACCGCGCGCGCTGCTGCTGCTGCTCTGCCCGCATGTCGCTGCTGGGCTCGGCAGCGCCGTTCCGCAAGATCTTAGCCCACTTCCCTCAAGAGTTCAGCCTCGCCTTTGCTTATGGGTCCGCGGTCTTCCAGCAAGCGGGAGCCTCTGCCCGGGAAACTGAGGTGAGCGATTCCAGGGAAGGGGAGGCGCAGGAGAGCCCCTTCAGCTGTATAGCCACGGCGCTCTCTCCAGCGCTGCCCCTTTCGAAGCTCTTCCCACGTGTCAGATCACCCCGTTCTTGTGCACCTGTTTGGAAAACAGAACGGGTTGTATGTCAGCCCGACTTACGCCCTGTTCATTCAGTGGGTCTTCGCTAAGTAGGGCCAACACTGAGTACAATCTAGTTGGATTTCTTTCCACCTACGCAGCACAACCTTTAATTGCAACAGAGTCAGTAGCTAACAGTGGAATTCTTTGCGTTCTTTCTTGGAATAAGGCTCCCTTTCTGCAGGGAGCTTACTTTAAGGTTAACGCGCAGTATACTGTAAATTTCTTATAGTAACCTTTAATTTAAGTCTCTGGGCTAGGATCCTCTCTCTAGGGCTGCAATCCAAGCTGCAAGTACCTTGGAATAACTTCAGTAGGATTTGGGTTGGCTGTCTGAACCTGACGATCCTATGCATGCTGAAACGAACCCCCCCCCCCGTAATTCCCAGCATTCTCCAACCAGCATGTTTAGGATTGCAATTAGGCTTTTACAACTTAGTTCCAGCTTATTAATTGCAGTTTGCAATTGGCAGGCTGTTAACTTCTTGGATCTGTAATCTGGTGTGTTCATTTTACTGTGTGTACTATATAATCTGAATTACAAATATTGGAATTTTTATTAGCTGTGGTCAAATTCTGATGCAAACAACTAAATACAGCAGGCTTTGGTCTCCGTCACACTCCTTTTCCCCTGAGATCAATGGAACATAAGTTAGCCATGACTTCTTAACACTGATTTTTATGGTATCCTATCACAACATGTGCTGGATCCAGCCAATTGGCACCGATGTGGGCAAACCTGCTTCGTGAACCTTTGCTTGCAATTGTGTGGCAAAAGATAGCATTGCCTTGATGTTCTTTCAGATCTTCATGTCATTTTGTGCTGTTAGACTTTCAATACAGCTGTTTTGGGATTGTGTCATACAGAGTTCAATAAACTTCTTTCTCTTTTGCTTTATAGAAAAATATGTTGGATTTTGTGTTTGTCGTTGATGATTCTGTAATGTGGCATATGATGAACTTGTCGAAGAATCGGGATCATTATTCCTTTCTAAAATATCTGGGGCCCAAGCTAATCAGTAACATCCAAAACTATGGAGCTGGGATTTACTACAATACTCTAGTACCTTGCAATGGTCGGGTAAGTAATATAGGTTGCATCTTTTAATAAGTCCATGTCAGATAACAGCTCCTTCAGGAAGTAATTCCAGGTACTGGTGAGATGTAAAGTAATTTGCTTTCCTGGAAGACTGTAATTTGGATGTCTATAAAAGCCAGTAGAATTGTAAAGCTAATTTTATTGTCTCAGACTTTTTGAGCTTTATCACTGAAATGTAAATAGGTTTTGGAGACAGTATGTTCTATGAAAAATGCACTTATTTGCTCTTAATGTAAATCAATGTATTTTATTACAGAAAGGCTATTTCATGGAGGTGGGGGATCCTATCAGAAAGCAGGTCCCCAAGCTAAAATGAACAAGGGTGAAATCCTGTGGCCTTTTGAAGTTGTCTAATGGACTGTAGGATTATCTGGGGACCCAGCTCTCAGGGTCCCCATTGTAGAAAGAGCCATGCTGGCTGCCTCCCTCTAGGCCACAGAGAGACCTCAAAGGGAAAGAAAAGGCACAGTAGAGATTGGGGAGGAGGCTGGAGCTGAGGACTTGCACAGACTTCGGTTGGTGTCCCAACTTCCCTCCCTCCCCAGTTCTTTACCTAGATAGCCAGAAACAGCCATCTAGGTAAAAACTGAGGTGCAAAATGTGGTGGGGGGAATGTTGCCATCACTGCCACCCCTTATTTGGGGCGTAAGATGAACGTCAGGCTCTGAGTTTGGATGATAACGTGCATTGACGGTGGCACCGTAGGAGTCAGCCTAAAACATTTTACAGTGTTTCAAAGCTTTCAAAACCAGGTCACTGACCCTTTGTCTAATACAAAAAGTTTGTGTTGGAACTAAGAATGTTCCAAAATTCATGGAGATCTCTGGACTGCTGTGGATGTGGTGGCATGTAAGAAAAAGGATCCTGCTCACTTCCCAACAAGACAGACGGGGGAGTCACAAGTGCGAGTGCTTTTGTCTCTTGCTTGGCATTCCAGAGCCTCAATGGAGGCTTTCCATTGATTGGGCTTCAGCACACCAGGTAGCGCTGGGTCCCTAGGAGGGAAGTCTAGCACAGGGGCCTGCAGTGTGGCTGTCATGGCACCTGTGGGGGCATCCATTACTGCCTGTGTAACTCTCTACTTCCTATTCCTTTCTATTTTTTTTTTTTTTTAATTGAGGACCTCAGGTTCCTCCTCTTTTTGGACCTACCACTGATCAGCTGTTCAGTCGGCAGGAATTATAAGCAGGCCAACTTGCAGAGAGGAGAGAAAGATGCTGAAAGGTGGGAGTGGGGTGAAACAGCATGGTAAAGAGTTGTCAGGATTAAAAAATGGGAAGGCCAGGAGCAGGCCGTGGAGAGGGAAAAATGCAATATAAAGGACTGCATGAGTGAGAAAGTGAGGGTAAGGGTTGGGAAGGGCAGGATGAGTGGAAAGCTAGAAGGGAGAGAAATAGGGAGGAAAGGGATTGAGGGAAGAGAAATAGCAAGACTGGCTGTGGTGGGAAAGAGCAAAGGGGAAAAGTATGTGAACAGACCAAAATTAAGTGGACCAGGAAGCAACTCTCTTCATTCCCCTTCCAAGCCTCTATCCCTGCTACTTTTCTCCTGCATCTCTAGCCAGGCCCCCTGGCAGCCATTCTGTGAATAGCCACATCCTCCATGCAAGCCATTCTGTGGTGGAAGCACAGGATTTCTTCAGATTCTTAGATGTGCCCCTCAATGGATGGGGACCTCTAGTCCTATAGGAGAGTAGTCTTACCTGCAAAAAAAACAACTGTTTTTTCTTAGCTGCAGAATCCAACTTTTTTCTGAGCCCTGATTCTGTTGTCTTGAAGTTTCTGTTAACTGTCCCATTTTTAGCCCAAGCAAGGTGTTTGGAGATTGGTATGTCAGGGCCCTTACTTTGCAGCCTTGGACCTGCCTAAGGACAGTTTTAGTAAAGGAGCAAGGAGTCCCAATGCAAAAAAGTGTGTTGACTTTAATACATGCACCCCACCTACTGCTTCTAAAACAATCTTGGGATAGATTAAGAGGGAACTCTTTGCTTGACGCTTTTGGGAAGTTCTGCTCTTTCTTTTTTCCTGCTAGTACTGTTTGGGAGGTTGGAGCATCACCTCAGATACAAGCCCATTACCTGTACTGCAGGATGGGCCATGTTTCAAAGAGTCTCCTTCCCTTCCAGCTGCTCAAAGCTCTTGGTTGGTTTTCGGGTTCTTGCAAATGGGGGCAGACTGCAGCATCCAGGGACATGGTGGATGGTAGGTAAGGGAATCTGCAACCATTTGCACTTGAGGGGCTTAAGTGCTGCTCCCATCAAATGTTTCTGTCCCTTTATTCCTTCTCAAAATGAAAAATCTTAAACATCTTGTTTTCTCATGTTTTGAGACCCATTCCTCCAAAGGATGCTTGAAAGATTTATCCTTCGTGTGTTTCTATCCTTGCAGCTTTGCTTTTTGTGATTTCTCCAGTTTACACTTATGTAATTCAGCTTTCTTTGTTTTCAGGTTATCAAATATGGTGTCATTAGTACTGATGTTCTGCTGGAAGACTTGCTTCACTGGAAGACTCTCTATGTTGCTGGGCGTCTGCAAAAACCGGTACTTTTGCACAGTTGTCTACATGGCAGAGTAAAAGTCATACCCACAAGAAAATGCCGGAGGCTGTAGAAAGTGGTGCCGGGAATGTGTTGGTGGGACACAGGGCTTCAGTTGCTGCTTTCTTTGGAGAGTTAGCTGGGCAATTCACTTGCCTTCTGGACTGTTGGAATGCTGGCAAAGTCAGGATTGCATCTTGTCTGAGGCCCTGAGTATGTGTTGCGTTGCTTGCGCATTTTAAAAAGCATGCTTAAACCAGGCACTTGGATTTTAAAGGGAGGGCAGCTGTGGAGCTTTGGCTGTGCTTCTGCTCTGCAGATCCTCCCCTCCTCCCCACCATTCCCAGCAGGTATTACCCTCTGTAGCAAGTCAAATAAAGGTGTGGTGGGTGATCTTCAGCAGGAGATACAGCAAGGCAAGATTCGGAATGCATTCCGAGTCAGGGTGGAGGGTGTGGAAGGCTGCTTTCTGTTGAAGGCAGAAGTGGTCAGCTTAAATACAGCTTTAAAACTGGAATTAATTGTGGAAAGTCAAGCCAGGCCTGAATGGTTGCATTATTTTCAAATTGGGTGGAGGGAGAGCTGTCCTGTTCCCAGCTGCTGGAAGTTCAGACAGGTTGCAGTGCTGCTGGTACAGTGTTGCCTGACAGGAGGGAGGGAGTGAATGCCTGCCTCTTGATCTTCTGCCCCTCCTCACTCACCGCACCTTTGACAGTGCTGGGTATGTAGAATAGTTGCCATATGATATAGTGTGGACCTAAGCCTTTGCATTTATTTAATTTATTTTATGATATTTTTGTTGCGCCTTTTAACTTTCCGAGAAACTCAAGCTGGCTTACCCCTTACCCCTCCTCCTTTGAATCTTATCCTTACAATCCCCTCCCTGTGAGGTTGGTTGGCTGAGACTCTGCCTGGCCCAAGGCCACCCAGTTGGCTTCATCGCTGAGTGGGGACTAGAACCTGGACCTCCGGAGTCCCCAGTCTTAACTACTGTACCATGATGACTTTCAATGTGGGGAAGAAGAGCTAGCCTCCCTTCTATGCTGCACAGTCAGCCTAAGGACTGAGCAGTCTGACATACAGCGGTGCTGGGAAAGCGGTGACCCTCTGGATGTCCATAGGACAGTTTCTATACTCCAGTCATTGTCAAAGTACAGATCAGTTAAAGTGTCCAGCTTAAAACATTAAAACGACTTCCTGAGTGTCCCCAGTGAATGAGTGAAGTGGGGGCTGAAGCCCATGTCTTCTTGCTCAGAGCCCAGCAGACTGTTGTCCCGCCTGTACCAGGAGTTTCTGGAAGGCCTGCGTGCTAAGCTTTGAAAGTGCCTTGCTCGTTTATTTACCTCAGAGACCCTCGCACAGTGCACATTTCATGTCTGCTGACTAACCACTAGGTGGAAGCAGAATGAAGCCAAATGGTGGAAGAGAAAATCTGCATTCAGCTTGAAATACAAAGGACTCATCTGATAAGTAGGAGGGGTGCGGGGCTCCAGGTGTAGGATCAGCCTTGGATAGATTCTGTAAGTGGTGGGCTTTGGGTGCTTTTGAATTCCCAACTGGCCTATTTTAGTTTATCTTGAGGTGTAATATTTTTCTTTATTGTATGAAACCATTAGTGGGAGCTAGTTACCTGCCACAGGAAGCCACAAATAGCACTTGCAGCGTGTTTCTGGAATTATAACACATCCAAGCGAAGATTATACCTGGGCTCTTGGCAGTGAACTTGGTGTAAGAAATGTCTTCTCTTGCATTTACTTGTGGAAAGAACAGGAATCGACTTTGTATTTTGTAAGTGACGATTTAGGACTCTAGATCAAGCCTAATGTTGATTCAGATGTTTAGCTGTGCATGATGTTCAGTTCTTACAGAACTTGAGCACCTTAGAATCTATGTGGAGGGATTTGTTCAGAAGTATCTTGATCAAAATGATTAGCTTTCCAAGTGTGGAAATATCTTGGTGGAAAATGCTCCCTTCCAGTCTGTCTCATTGTGCATTTTGGTATAGGCTTGATCCGTGGGAAGACCATACCACAATAAACATAAGAGGTCTAAATTAGTGTGCGGTTTCTTCTAGGAAAATATATAAGATTCTTCTGTCTCAGCAGTCATTTACTGCTCAAGGTCAAGCCCATAGGAGGGCAGGTATTATGCATTTGTTGTGCTTTGTCTGTCTTGGCTCCCTTCTAAAATGAGCTTTATATAGAACCAGTTATCTGCTCCAAAGTCTTGGAAATTAGACATGTGAATAATGACAAATACAACTTCAGAGGTACTAGGAAGGCTCTGTCTACAGATCCTGAGCTGAGCAGGGCTCTGATGAACAGGGCATTTTGGAGGGAATTCATTCCTAGGGTTGCCAAAAGTAAGAGATGATTTGCTGGCATATAACAATGACAAGGAAGAATCCAGTGGGTTTCTGGGCAAAGTGCCAGATTTGGCCGTTGAACAGGCGCAAACACAGGTTTCTACTGAATCTCTGAAGTCTGTTTTTTCTTACCTGAATATAGAAACATGATCATCTTTGGTGTAGCAGGTAGATGATGCAATACTTTTTATTGACAGTTACCACTGTATGACTGAGAACAGATGCAGGCTTGAATGATGAAAACAAGTTCTTTGTACAGATCCAACTGCGATATTAAACATGATGAAACTGCTGTTCTGGATTTTGCATTTCTCTGTTTTAAAAGAAAGTCAAGCAAAAAAAATCCTAGTATCCAAGATTACAGTGTTGTGTCCTAACTAGTTGTGACTCAGGCTGAATGTGTCAACATCTCCCCCCCCCCCTTTTAGAGGGGAGGTTGGAAAGGGATTAACTTCTGCCATCCTGTGTATTTACTTTCTTTAGCTCAAGGAGTATTGCAGCAGTGCTACTGTGATGTACATAGTTCAGATGAGGACATCTCGAGTAGGGCACAAATGGCTATTGAGAGTTGTAAACTCTTTTCTTCTTCCCAGGCCTCTCTGGCTGTTTCTCAATAGTTTCCTGGCTTCTTTCTTTGGATACCACATACGATTGGATTAGCCAAGTTCTCATCTAACCTCATATTGAAGAACTGTATAAACACCATAGTTGATTTTTTATTTAATGCTCAGCTGTGGTGCTAAGTACATTTATGTTCTGTTAAATTTAAAATGTGTGATGGGACCTGGCTTGCTTGGAAGGGAGGCTGCTGAATTCCTGGTGCCTTCATAAAATCAGGGGCGTTACAAGTCCCAGTTCTTCTGCCAAGCCATTCCTACCACTTTTGCCTCGGCTCCATTCACGTGGGGTCTTCCCATGAATTCTACTCCTCATGGAAGCCTTTTATCAGCCCCTCAACAGGGTGGGAGCTGTTCAGGAGTCATGCTACTTTAGATAACAAATAGTATAGATAAATAGGGAGATGCTGTTTCCGTCTTGCATTGCTGGTAAGTTTCTTAGAAGCAGGTGGCTGACTACAGATGAAAATGGAATGCCTAACCAGATGGAGATGTGTGACTAGAACCGGACCATAAATCAAATACAAGTCAAGAGTAAGGTGGTGTTTGGCCTCATATTGGCTTCTGCAAAATCAGTTTTACAGAAGGCAAACTAATTAGGCTAGAGGACATGATTTGCCCATGGTTACAACTGACTAGGGTACCCCCAAAATTTAAAAACATGGGGGGGTTCTTAAGATTGTAGAGGATTTTTCTCCTTAAGGTGACATTTCAGTTTATTTTGCATTCTATGTATGCTAGAATCAAACTAGAAAGGAAGAACCTTTACATGTGAATCTGTTCTTAGAGTGAAATGAATGTTTACACCAGTTATGTATTTTCCCAACTTTATTCAGCACTTTAATAAAAGGAAAAGCTTAATACAAATTACTGGGGAGAGAGGGAGAGAAGTGAACTGGCTAACATAACACCTAAGGGTATTTCCACAAAGATAAAGAGGTAAATTGTTCTAATAAAATGAGAAAGTTACTACATTTTTATGGTCATGTAAGTTATTTAAATAGAAACACTCTAATCAAACTGTGTGAGATGATATGGCAAATTTTGTGGAAGTGCAATGTACTGTTAAGGTAGAAAGCACCCACTTTCTACTTTGATACTTCCAGATTTCTTACCTTCCAGTTGTTAGCAAGATAAATAAAATTTCTAGTTCTTATTTCAAATCCACTGAGATCTCACTTTAGGCCACTACTGAACTTTCTGAACAAGGTGGAAAACTCACTAGGAACACAATTTGGATAACTGCTGAAGTGCATTAATAAAGCCTGTTGCACCATTGTCATTTTCAGTCCACTTGAGTTTAAACAGTAAAGGTTAGCTGGTCATTAAATACCCCTATAGTACAAGAGATACCATTATTGTAGAATTCTTGCTTTCCCAATGCAGAAATGTCTGCGTCAAAATTCCTAAGTATGCGGGTAAGCTATCATATTGGGCAAAGTTAGTACACAGCAGGTGTATTAAGGCTGCAATCTGAAACATTTACCCTGGAGACAAAGGAACCTACTTCTGCATAAGTTTGCAATGTTAGTGAGAAAATAAATGTGGTACCTATTAAATCTATCAACAGATTTTTTTTGTTTTGTTTTTGGCTTCTGCTTAGGAACTAATTCATAAATTGTTACTTGTGGTGTACATGACCTTGATGGTCTGGGAACATCAGGAGCTATGTAGCTTATCTTCCCCCTGAGTCAAGGAGCACAGATGAGCCAATGTGTGTTTGTGTATAAAATAAGAATTCTTGGAGAAGCTTTACAGTCTGATCCAATATTTGCCCATATAGGAGTTCGCCTTTCAGAGGAACTTCGTCCTCAGAGAATGCATATGCATTTTTAAGCTTAAACCTTTTTAAGTTTGCTGGAATTGAAGTGTGCTTTGAAATGATGTTTTCCCAACGTTGCAGTTCTCCCAACTCCAGAGAAGCCTGACTGCAAAGTGATGCTTGGTGAAAAGAGTGCAGTGCTTGCTTAGACATGTAACTGAGGGCAGAGTGCTGCTCCTTTGGCTCATCTTCTCATGCCTTTTTCACACTGCCACTAATGTTTCCATTGTTTTTTTGTAGCTGGAATTGTTAATTGAGTATTTTAATTGTGCTTCTTCCAACTTTGGCATGTAAACTGTTGAGATTGTGATATTAAGTAGTATAGAAGTATTATAAACACATAGGTTACAGATTTTTGGTGGACTAATATTTATTTATTTGATTTTTGTAATGCCCATGAGCTGAAGCGACAACCCAGATTCAGACTGGACATCAGGGAAAGCTTCCTCATGGTCAGAGCAATACGACAGTGGAACCAGCTGCCTAGAGAGGTGGTGGGCTCTCCCACACTAAAGACATTCAAAAAGGAACTGGACAGCCATCTGAGTGGGATGGTGTAACGTGGTGTCCTGCAACAGCAGGGGGTTGGACCTGATGGCCTTCATGTAACAGAGAATAAAAGGCTTTGTAAGATGATGTTGAATAAGGCAACTTCACACCTTTGAAAGATTGTGGCGTAGGAAACTAAGGATGCCATTCTGTGTGTGATGAGTTGGGATTAAGTTCCACTCTATTCAGAGGGCACTATTTCAGAGAAAAATGCTTGGAAATGAGCTACGTTGCTTTGTATATTCATGTTGAATATGGAAAAATCAGCCTGAAAATGTCTCTCCATCCTCCATCACCAGAACATGGTCATCCAGCCATCCATTCATTATTTATATTCCACCTTTTTTTCCTTTTAAAGAACTCAAGGTGGCTTCCATAACTTTCTTCCTCCTCCTCAATCTTATCCCGGGTGAGCCTTACTGCTTAGGGGCACAATAAGAGCATAGGGAACCAATGGCACAACTGCCTTATATTCAGTTGTGCCATTGGTCAATCCAGCTGACTATTGTTGACACTGACTGGCTATTCAGGGTTTTGGGCAGGACTTTTCTAGCCCTTAGCAGAGAGGCTGAATTTCGCCTGGGTCCATAGGCACACAAAGCATGAGGTGCCACTGAGCTACTGTCCCTTCTATGCTCTCAAGGTTAGATTTTGCCAGTAAAACAAGAGAAAAGTCTTGAGAAAAGAGAAAAGTCTTTTACTTTCCCATATAAAATGGGAGTATAAATTCAGTTAAGAGGCGTGAGTCACAGCACTGCATTTCTTAAAAGACAAACAAAGTATAAATGTATACACTGGATGCATTATTGATAGTCATTTTCGCACTTTTGGATTATGGTATTGTACAGATTCCTTTGCTTGTATATTGTTTGATTTCTTGCTTGATTTTTCCCCTCACTCAGCCAAGCAGATAAGCTATTAAGATAGAACTTTCCTAGCATGTAAACACAGTTGTTCTCAGCAGAGGTGAACTGGCTGTCTGGTCACTTGGTTATTCAACTGACTATGCAATTTGGCCGTTGGAGACAGACGGCAAAAGCAGCTGTCTTCCACTGTATTCTCCTATTGTCCCCTTTGCTGACATTTTTGCTTCTAGGAGTTCAGAATGACTTTTTTCTTCTTCCTGGAGGAAGGAAATATGCTTGTTTGTAAAATTAGGCTTTTAAAATCGTGAAGGAAAGCAAATTGAAAGCAGGCATTCAAATAGCCTCCCCCAGGACCAGACTACCTTTAACTATTCAGATGGTTTGGATTTTATGTTGCTAACAAAAACCACACTTCAAATGTAGGGGAGATAATAGAAGAATAATAAGCTTGTACCCCATAGATAAATTTGGGTCTCCAGGGTTGTGTTCAGAAATACATATTTTCAGTTGTGAAGTTCTGGATACAATCATCCCTTTGTTATGGAATAGCTTTTGCCCACGTACCTTCTGCATGTTTGTAAAAGTGAACACTGTGATAATAGCCTGTTTGTTTCATTTCCATCTAGCTCCAGCTGTCTCCTTCACTCTAAAACCATCTTGTGGGATTTTTCCCCCAGCCATCACATTTTAATGAAGAAATTGATAATTAGATTAGAGACAATACTTTGCAGTGTGCTGGATCAAGTCTGTGGAGGTCAAGAACATCATACCTGCATTAATGTTTTCACGGAATAACTCATTGTATGGGCAGACCTTAACAGGGATAAGGTCAAATAAAACAGTCCGGCAAAAATACAAAAATGTACATGTGTTAATTTTAACCGACTAAATGACAACACAGTCTTCCACTGTATTCCCCTATTACCTTCTGATAAAACAAGATCATTCATATATCATTTCTACAGAAGAAAAAAATAGAATGCTAGAAAGCAAGAGGCCTGTGCAATTCCTTTGGAAATTTTGGCCATGAATATCATAGACATCAGAAATTCCTTCAGTTTCAAAATCTGTTCCCATTGATAGAAGAATTGATAGAAAAAGATGTGGCTTGTATTTTGGCATCACTTCTGGTATTCAGCCTTGTGGGATACAAGGGATCTTAAAACTAGCCTAAGGTTACCTATGTTTAAGTCAGTAAATTCAGTATAGCTCTAGCTTTAAGAATAATTATGTTATAGGAATGCACAGTCTTGAATGTACAGCATTGATTTTAGGTTCCTAAATCTTACTATTGATCTTCAGCTGTTTAAGTTATAAGGATGGAGATCTGCTTTGCATAAGACTGTGCTTCAGCAACTTAAGAGGTTTCTACCGATCTCTATTAATTCATAATGGCATTGCTCTGGAATTCGTATGCACTGAGGTGGTGCTCCAGTCAGCCCTTGGCAGCATAGCCAATAGAGGAGAATTGCAGTCCAGCACCATCTGGAGGGCCATGTTCCCCATCCCTAGCTTCTGAATGGCGTGCTGCTAATGATTATTGCTGACACTTTTCACCTGATGCCCTGCTCTGAATTCTTTGACTACCTCCAGGTGAAAATCCTGACTCAGAGTGAGAATGTTAAACTGCAAGCTGCCCTCACCAGCAACTTGAAAAGTGCCATCACAGCAGCCTTTCTCATGTTGCCCGAAAGTTTCTCAGAGGAAGACCTCTACCTGCAGATTGCTGGACTCTCCTATTGTGGTTAGTATGAACTTCAGCTTCTTTTTGTCACTGTCTTATTAAGGAGCTAGAGGGTAGTCAACACGAATGCAGGAGGTGTCACTGACTTCAGCTCTAACTTGCTCACACATCCTGTTTGACTTTCCTATCTGACTTGCAAGGGTTTCTGTAAGAACTTCGGATGAGCAGCTACCAATGGCTAAGGAAAAGCCAGCAGAAAACAGACTGTTTTTGCGTTCTACCAGCTTGCCATCATTTTCTTCCACGCAAAGCTGCCAGAACCTTTAAGCTCTTTCTCAGAGCCTGTATTCCAAATTCCTCTGCCATCTGAAGTGTGGCAACCTTGAATGGATAATTTTTAGCAGCTGGCAACTAATCTGTGGAACTGCATCCTGGCAAAAGGTTCATTTTGCTCTTTCACTTCTACTTTTTACGCTAGATAGGCAACCTGGTGTCTTCTAGATGTTTGGCCATGTAGATAGCTAAGAAGGTCTTTTGCATTTGGGCTCTCTGGTGGTTGTTCTGGAGAGATGTTGGTTTTAGATACTGCTGCTGCTAACTGCTTGTTTTTATTATCATGACCAGTTTGGGGTTTTTAACTTTTCAGTCATTTTTATTCTGCCTTTGGCCAAAAGCCAGGATTAAGTATTTTCATAACAAAAATAGAATGAAGCACGTTCCCAGACCTTATAGTAAACCTGTCAGACGTCAGAGGTCATCAACAACATGTCAGTAGAACCAGAAGCCCAAACCAAACTACGTCGAGGTCATACATTGCAACTCATGCTGCCTGTCTTGGAGTTGTAATGTCTGCTCCAGTTGAACTGACTTGTTTAATGCTTGAGAGTTTAAGTTTGTGGGGGGAAAGCATCATAATGTGTTATGGTGGAAGGTGGCTGACTCAGTTGTCTCCGAATTGCAAAGAAGCCTTGTTGGCACAGCATGATTCAGGCTGAGTGAGTATGTTATGCTTGCATACGGTAAAGGAAATTGACAAACTACCTCTGACCTTCCCTGGGGTAACTTTCTGTCAGAGAAGACTGGATAATGGCCCAGGTGAGTTTTTCAGGGGAACTTAAGGCATATTCTTTAGGACAACACTTGTATGCCTTTGTGTAGGGGTATCTGGCCTAGAAACGGTGCAGTACAAATTTTGATATTACTGAATCATGGGAAAATAGCCTTTTTGTTGCTCTATGCTGTCTTTTTTCAATTTAGCAAAGGCTTTTTACTGCATAAAGCTTAATGCAGTCGATATTCTGACCTGTCCTTTTAAAATAGTGCTCTTTTGCTGAAACTACTTCCTGCTGTGATTGCTGGACTCATTTCCAGTTTCTTTACAAAACAGAATTATTATCCTCCACACAGACACATGCACACACACCCTTAGACCCTTTCCTATTTTGCTGGACATTGGAAATAACGCATTTTTCTTTTTGGCAGCTGTCTTAAATCAAAAAAGCAAGAAAAAATTGGTGTGTAATAGATAGAACTAGAAATGAAACTTGAGCAATAATATCAAATGGGAAACAATCTGGGGAAAGATAACCTTTATGTTTCGGCCATGGGGTGGGCAGGAAATAATTGCTTGAAAGTGACTTGAAATGTTTTGGCTGCTGCCTCATTCTTTCTAATAACTAAACCATTTAAAATTTTACATATAATATTTTTCATCTCTATATGGGACACTACATTAGTATGAAAAAATAAGTGTATTTGGGTTTAGATTTGCCTTATGGTCATCTTGTAGCCCTTCTTAAAGTACCATTTCTTTTTCTTTTAAATTTGTTTATAAGTGCAACTTTAGAAGGAAAATACATGCAAAACAGACTCCACTTATAGATTCTTTTTTTTTTTAAGTTTAAACGCTGTAAAATGGTGCATACAAAAATTGCAATAACATAGCCAAGATAAATAGAGGACATTTCTCTGTTTCTGTAAAAGTGGTGCATTCACACAGGCTACTTTTCTTTATAAACAAATCAGAATTTAGGAACTGCAAAGGAGATTGATTTGTTACACTAACATAAGCAATGAGTAGGAATGCACATCATCTTCAAATTTATCATTCCAGAAATTAAAAAAAAGTTCATTTCCTTATAAACTGAATGTCATGAGCCAGATCTCATTTCTAACATTTCCATTTTTATTGTTTTGTTAATGAGTGGGCAGAGGGAGGGGAAACGGAGAGGCGTAGCTTGATTCGGGCTTCTGCTGAGCTTATCAGGGCCTGTTCCCTGCCTGTGGATCCATGTGGAAATAGGGAAAACTAGCGTGACTGGGGATCCTTATCCAAGAGCTGAGGATATAGGAGATTCTCTTGTGTCCCCCCATGCAGGTGACATAGGAGCTTAGGAAGCTTGGCACTCCCTGACATGCACATAGAAACAGAGCGAGTCAGAAGGGGTCTCCTGGGCCATCTGGTCTGACCCCTGGCTTCACTCACGACATGCCCACCATGTGCATGTCCAGCCTATCCTTGAACACCTGCACCGATGGGGCCTCAACCACCTCCCGGGGAAGCCCATTCCACACCCTCGGGGTCCTAACTGTCAGGAAGTGCTTCCTAGCATCCAAATGGAACCTTGGTTCTCTGAGCTTTGCTCCGTTGGAGCGCATCCTGCCTTCCTCTGCAGGGGAGAACAGGTCTCTACCCACTTCCGTGTGACATCCCCTCACATACCTGTATGTCGCCAACATATCCCCTCTGAGTCTCCTCTTCTTCAGGCTGAACAGACCCAGTTCCCTCAGTTTCACCTCATACCCCATCCCCTGCAAACCGGCCACCAACCTTGCGGCCCTACGCTGCACTGACTCTAACCTGGCTATATCCTTTCTGTAATGAGGGGCCCAAAATTGAACACAATACTCCAGTTGCAGGCGCACCAGAGTCGTATACAGTGATAGTGATACCTCTCTCGATCTAGAAGCCACACTTCAGGCTATGCAACCAAGGGTGGCGTTAGCCCTCTTGACCACCGCATCACACTGCTGACTCATGTTTAGCCTGCAGTCAACCAGCACTCCGAGGTCCCTTTCACAAGTGCTGCTCTCCAGCCACTTGTCCCCTAACCTGTACTTATGACACCCATTCCTATGCCCCAAGTGCAAGACCTTGCATTTATCCACATTGAACACCATCCTGTGGTCCTCTGCCCACTTCCATAGTCTGTCCAGATCCTTTTGGATCTGGAGTACCTGCTCCTCAGTTATGGCCACTGCTCCAGTTTTAGTATCATCTGCGAATTTGATCAGCAGACTGTTCATCCCTTCTTCCATGTCATTTATGAAAAGATTAAACAGGATTGGCCCCAGGACAGAGCCCTGGGGGACCCCGCTTGTCACTGGCCGCCATCCCGATGATTCCCCACTAATGGTTACCTTCTGCTTTTGTTCAGTCAACCATGCCCTAATCCACCGGACAGTGCTTTGGTGTATCCCAAAACTCCTCAGTTTCTCCACCAGGATATCATGGGGCACTTTGTCAAAGGCCTTGCTGAAATCCAGGTGTACCACATCCACTGCATCCCCTCCATCTAGCCATCTCGAAACCTTGTCATAGAATTCCACAAGGTTTGTCTGGCAGGACCTGTTTTTGTGGAAGCCGTGTTGTGTGGCTGCCAGCCTCCCTTCCCTATCTAGCATCACTAGATCTCTCTCTATTATGAGCCTTTCCATTGTTTTTCCTACAATGGACATAAGGCTAATTGATCTGTAATTGCCCATGTCCCTTCCACTACCCTTTTTGAAAATTGGGACCACTGATGCCACCCTCCAGTCCTCTGGAACTTCACCCGTTCGCCACAAGGCCTCAAACATGGTAGGCCTGTCATGAGCAGAGCTGGCTGGAGCCGAGGGTCAGACTAGATGGCCTGGGAGGCCCCTTCTGACTCGCCCTGTTTCTATATTTCTATACAGAGTCAGGTCCTGGGTCCATGCAGCCCGGTCGTTTCTCTGCTTCAGGCAGGTGTTTTTGCAGCCCTGGGACTTCCGGCATGCCTGCATCTGTTCTTCCATGGAGGTACATGACTTGATACACCATGCAGAGGAGATTATGGGTGGACACTAAATTTTTATCTCCCCCAATTTTTGAGAGGGGGAACATTGTGCAAACTGAGATTTGAGCATGCAGAACTGTCCATGGGAATAAAGGCAGGATCCTTGCAGTTGCTTCATTTGCAAACGTAAATGGCATTTAGTCTGATGTTTGTCAAATTGTCATGGTGTGTTAGAAGCTTTCATTTGGGGCCTCTGCCCATTTATTGTCCTAGTGGACCGCAGGTGGCCAAATCAAGGCTTGGAGCCACATGCAGCTCCTTGATTTTATTTTGCTGCTCGCCACCGGTGGCACCTCGTGGGAGCCCGCCTGGCACTCTCTGCTGCCGCCTCCGGGTGCCCACTTGCTGTCCACCATTGCCACCCATGGGCAGCCCCTGGTGTCTCTCAGACCTCTGACTTTATTTCATATGGCTCTTCCATTGAGCAAATCTGGTCTCCCAACCATGCAGGCAGGCAAAACTCTTTCCCACATGACATTTGAAAGCCAAGCACACTATCCAGTAATCCTGCATGAGTGGCTGTACCAACAATAATTCCAAATCCACCCTTTGCAACCAGGGTAAGATATCAAGTTAATGTCCGTACAAGATGTATATTGACCAACTTGGTTTGGTTTAGGTGATTTCAGAATGATAATTGGAGAAGATAAGTCAAAAGTGATGAACATAGTGAAGCCCAACCTGTTACATTTTCAGAAGCTCTACAATAACATATTGCAAGATTGCCCACAAGTGGTGTACAAGCATCAGCAGGGGAAGCTAGAGGTAAGTCATTGTCATGTTTGTAAAAGCTTGCTGTTGGTGTGATATTTGTGGGTGTGCACTCCCAGCCATTCTCTCCTGCTTGGACTCTTTGGGTGCACGCATATGTTCAGCTCAAGGACATAACGTGCCTTGAGTATATGGCACCCCGACTGACTTCCATTGCTGAATAACTGTGTGATGTGCAAGTACCGGGATGGCAGACTGTAGTAGTTGGATCTATTTGGGTTGCTGAATTATAACTGCTGCTGCACATGGGCAGTTATATGGGCTTTTGTTTCATAGAGTAATACTTAAATCCAGTGCTTGGAAAGTAGTATAATCTTACTGGGTTCTGAGGTCAACAGGAATTAGTTTTAATCTGTGTCGAGCAGATGTATCTTTTGTCACTCTCAGGTAGATGCAAGGTTCACATCCTAAGAGTCCCCATTCCAGGGTGCCAGTCTGGATCAGACCCCCTTTATCTAGTCTGGAATAAAAATCGGGGTGGGGGAACCCTTACTGGATATTGGCCAACTACAGAGCATCACACTAATGGGTGGTTTTTATACAAACTTAGGTAATAATAAATATATTTAAAGCAATGGCTCTTTTGGCCTTAAGAATCATGAACTGGAGATCTTGGGTTCTTCTGTAGAAAAACAGAAGTTCTATCATTGTTGACAGTTGGTTATTTTAGCAATTATTTCTCTGCAAGCTAGATGCCGGAAGGGCTAATGTACATTTATACAACTACCAAATCAGGACGCTATGTTACACAGCATAACATCTTCTGAATCGCTTTGTTAAGGTTGCTTTTCATTTTTCCAGAAGCTATTTAGTAAAACGTATTGCATCATGCCTCTCTTTCTAAATGCTGTTATTGTTTGATGGAAATACCAGTGACTGAGGTTTGCTTTCTTAGCCATTTGCACTCTGAATTAATATAGAGCTGTTCAGAGGCTACACTATATTAATTTAGAGTGGTTCAATTATAGCAAAGAAACTTCTGGATGGCTTGAGTGGCTGTTAGAAGCCGTGTGCCCAAGGTGAACAAGGTGGTTTGCAACAGAAATGTAGGCAGTAGACCTTTTCAGTCTTGTTACCCATTTTTAAAAGCAGCTAATGATACAGTGCTTGTGGGTACGTCCAAGTGTTTGAACATGTTTAGGATCTATACCCCAGAGTCATGGTGTACCTCAGCAATTACCATGTGAGGCAATAGCAATAGGCCATCAACCAGAGAGTATTCAAATTTTTGGCTTGTTATAGGAATATCAAAAGGAGAGACATGCAGAGTGTTTGAGAAGGATTGGCAGTTCTTTGGTGAATTTTACAGGTGGAGGCAAGAACGGGGAGAGAGAATTGAGGAAGGGATGGAGCAATAGGTCGGTGTTTCACAAGGTGGAGAATGGAGTGAGAGGAAGACATACACCTGATGATCAGGCAGGCTATAGGATGAGATAGTTATTTCTTTGTTTCCAAGTTGCACAATAATTGCTGTTATAGACATAGATCTCGTTGGGTTGGAGACAGTGACTACTTTGGCTTGTGAGTACATGTAAAGCTTTCAGAGAGTAGTGAGGTGAGAAAAAATAACTTGGATAGAGGAAATTAAGGTGCAGATCTACATATCTCAAAGGCAAGGTGGTAGAAAGGAGCTCCTAGTTTTCTGCTGTGATCTGGCACTTCATTACTGGGACTGGAATACTGGGTCAGGCTGAGTAGAATAGTAAATGGGCTAGTCCTAGATTATGACTGAAAGTAGTGCAGGTACCCAGCTGTTATGGGGGACTGGAGGCTGGCTAAGCCCTTGCAAGTCACTTTGAGTTCCATATGGCTTGGAGCCTGGAACCACAGCAAAACATGGGCTCCTCTCAAAGCCTGCAAAATTGTTCAGGAGTGCATGTGCTGGCAATTGTAGGAAGCGCTTCAGTGATGTTAAAGACACCAACCCCTTGGAACTCATTCCCAGCTGCAGGACTTCCCAGTCTTAATTTTGGGAAGGAGTTTCTTCCCAAGACCATAAGTAGGGTAAGGAGGACTAGGTGATGAAAGCAAATGGACAAAGTGAAAGGAAGGCTCATGGGCATACCTTGAATATGGGTCCCTGACCTGGATGGGTACTGACTTATTTAGTGGAGGTGGCATGCATTGGGCATGGAGAGCTGTCTTTGTCAGGTCTCTAGATGAGCCAATCCTGGGTGTGTCCTGTGTGCAGGTGACTTGGTTGGTTGTGCCAGGGACCTGGCATTTGCCTATTCTGGAGATCCCAACATGGCAGCATCTCTGAGCCTCTTCCTGATCATCTCTATGTGAAGAGCCACAGTTTAAGAGCATGTAGCTGAATTTAATGTCTCCCAAATAACATTTGCTAGGCAGATCCCCATGTGGCAACAGATGGCTCAATATAGCCCTGTGGCCTGGGGGTTGTCATTTACATTAGGACGAATGAGGCTCTGATCCACTGGGCCTATGTGTGTGCCAAGGCCCCATTGTCAGTTCTGGAAAGCATCGCCTGGAGATCTAAGACAATCATGCCCAGAAGTAGCGGAAGCTTGGCTTTCATAAATGTCTTGGTCAGTGTCCAGCGTGCTGTTGGGCAAGTGTTCTTGGCCTTGCAAGCTCAGGAAGATTTTTGACATTTCTCCCCCTTTATCTAGCCCCTTCATCCCACATGTCACAATACTGTTTTTAAATTTCTCTTAGTTGCAAAAGTCAGCTCCTAGAGGCTGCATAGCTCTTTTTCCAAGAAATGGGACATCTGAAGCCCTCTTGCTGTGCAGAGCCTGCTGCATTGCTAGCTACACAGAGTCTCTGTGTTCATGCACATATGTGCATAGGAAGAAATGTCAGTTGGAATTTCACAGGTTGGTTTTGAAAACTCATAGATTACTGCCCGATCTTGTCACCAAGTTGCTGTGCTTCCTACGGAAATAAAATGAAATGCCCTCAGTGTTGCAAGCTGTATTACTACCTTTTGTAATAGTGAGTTTGGCAGCCTTTTGAGTTTTGAGTTTATTGTAGGCAGAAGATAAAATGCTGGCTAGTGTGGACTGAATTCTCACTTGCACTCTAGATGAACACTCCGAGTGGTAACTGATTAATGTTAATGACACTTTTCTGCAGCTTGTGGAAATTATGAAAGTAGATAGCTGCAGAAAGCTATTCATAATAATCAAAATAGTAAGCAAGCAGGGGTGAATTGGTGAACGAAAAGTGCAGGTTCAGACTTGCACAGAAACCCTGCACCCTGCCTTAGAAATTCAGATTGTAATGCGCACTAAGTCCCGGACAGGAGTAAAATCCACAGCTTGATTCTGTAAGTAGCATGTGACTTGTGCAAAAGACAGCAACTTTAATTTTGCTACATCACTTCTTTTTAGGCATTCCAAGCACTTTAGGCACCTCATATAGAGATATAAAGGTTTTGGAGCGGGGCTGGGGACAAAAAAAGTATGTGCAGAAAAGTAAGGGCGCATTTCTCCCCAGAGATTTGTAGCAGACTGGGGTGGGACGGGGAAACACGACTTATTTTATTCTTCCAGTTTTTTCCCAAGGCTTCACTCATATGACGTCACCTTTTTTTTTTTTAATGTTTTTGGTTTTTCTTTACGTTACAACAACCTAGTAAGGCAGATCAGAATCATTCTCCTGGTATTGCACACAGGGAGTCATTAGTGGTCCCTGTGTTGAACTGGGACCAGGAAGATCTGATTTCAGTCATGAATTTAGGTGGGGGTTTTGGTTCGTTAATTCTCAGCCTGACCTATATCACAGAGTGGCTGTGAGGATTCTGTGGTGTTACTGAGAGAAAATGATGTGCGCCACTGTGAGCTCCTTGGAAGAAAAGCGAGATATAAATGTGGCGATGCTAGTAGCTAACTTGCTTTTGGCGATTTCTTGTGAAAGGCAGCATGGGAAGGCTGCATGTTGGATTGGAAAGGAAGGAGAGAGTTGGTTAAGACTGCCCTGCAGGCCCCATCTCCACTCCATCCAGCTGCTTTTTCCTTCATGGGTGCTCGTATCTCTTCCCCCAGTGGGTGAAAGTAGCTGTGAAGGAAGTCTAGAGACTGTTATAGACATCTGCATATAATGTTTAGTTTTAGACGGAAGGAAGGAGAGAGAGTAGCTTGCATAAAGGGTAGCTATTAAATCAATGGCGAAAGTAGGACTTGAACAGGAGTCTTCTTCCTTAAGCTAAAACCAGCTCACATTTTTAGATGAAGACCTGTTGGAGTGGTCGGCATTATACTGTTTGCAGGTTTTATTTATTTAAAGCTTTTGTATCCTGGCCTTTACAGTGTCTCAGAGCAGTTTTAGCTGAGTAGAACAGCTTGGAGATCTGAATAAGTGTGGCAGACTACTGAATGAGTGTGAAGGCTTTTTTGCGCTCAGAGGGCTTAAAATGCCCAGCAAGGAGGGTGAGCCATAGGCAGGGGACAGAGCACCTCTCCTGCCTGCAGATTAGATCCTGGCACCTCCAGCGAAAACGACCAGGGAGCAGGTGATGTGGAAACTCCCTGCATGATAGCTTAGGGAGTCTCTGGCTGCCTGAGCAGTAAGCCGTGTTGGCATAGGTGGAATGGTGGGTCTTTCCATTTTCTTATCCTTGTGATTTTTGTGTGTCTCTTTAATAGAGGAAGAAGAAAAGTCAGCCCTATGCCACATGCTGGCAATCTGATTACAGAGTGTGGCTACTAAGCTTGATATCGAAATGCTTTACGGTGTTGCTAAAGAGAAAACAAACTCTGTCTGTTTGTACTTCTGTATCTTCAGATAGATAAGAGTCCAGAAGGTCAATTTGCACAGCTAATGGCTTTGCCAAGGACCCTGCAGCAACAAATCACCTCTCTCATGGATCCTCCAGGAAAGAACAGAGATGTGGAAGAAATTTTATTTCAAGTTGCACATGATCCTGACTGTGGATTGGTAGTACACCAGGGTAGGCTTACTGATGAAAGATAATGCGGGCATCATTCTTTAACAGGCAATTTTATATGTGGTGACCTCAGAACTTTACATCTTAACATTTATTTTGCTACCTGCTTTTTTAAATCAGCAAGATGGAATATGATTAACATGATTAAATATCCAGTTGAATCAAACAGCTGGCAGTGTGATCTTGGCAACACACAAATTCAAAATTTGTGCATAAGCAATAGGCATGCTTGTTGGGAGTGTCTCTCTCTCTCTCTCTCTCTCGCTCATATATATATGTCGTTCTATATTACCTACTACTTGGTTTCAAACGTTGTTTTGTGTATGGCATTGGGAGCTAAAGTTGAGAAAAATAATTCTAAAGTCTACTTGGGAATATAGAATTAATTTTATTTTGTGCCCTAGCCAGAAATTGGTGTCTACCAAACAAAATAATGTCCTCAGGGCTATATGCCTGGTAGATGATATATTATACATGTAACCCAAGACCTGTACTTGGATAGCTTCTGAGTCATGAGTATGCCAAATGGCTCTGGGAAATTCTACTCTTTCAGCCTCAGTTTCCCCATCAGTAAACCCTAACCCATATAATTAAAATATGTATTATATTTTAATTTTATGTTGTGAGCCGCCCTGAGGCTTCGGCGAATGGGGCGGCATAGAAATGTTTTAAATAATAAATAACCCTAAGGACACGTTGTAAAAGTACTGTAAAAATGGTGATTGAGTGCACAACCCAGTCATCTTAAACGTTAATTTAACTTGAGTAGAATTATATACATGTTTAAACTTCTAAAGAGGCTTGGATTTGGGTGAAATGCATCGGATGATGATTGTATCTTAGTCCTTTTGAGATATCCGTTCTTGAATTCAAAATCTAGCAAAACAGATTATGTAATATATGTGAGGTAAGGTATTGCTTTAACAATTGGCTTGCTGCTTGAGAAAGTGCTGCCAAGTATGTCTTTGGCATCACATCAATATCTGATTGAACAATAAGGCCTATTGCCAAAGGTGAGCCATTCACACTTTACAATGAATACAACCAATCTGTGTTTGCAAATATGTGTATTATATAGGCATAATTGTCAGATAAGAAACACGGTAGAAGCAGCCAGAGCACTGTCTAGTCTGGTTTTATGGGAACTGCTTCTCTTTCTTTTAATGTAGCCCAAAGATGTAGACAAGGAGAGCTTCAGCCTAGCATCTCCATGGTTGCCCATTGCCTATTTTGGCTAATTAAATCAAGTCAAATTGAACTAGTTGGGTGGATCTAGAGAGTAATTAAAATCTCTCTGATAGACAGAATGGTCCTGGATACCAGTGCTACCATTCCTTAAGTTCTTAGTTGTGAAAGTTGTTCAGTCACAAATATCTCTTCTGGTTATGATTCAAGCCCAGGCACTCTTGTATGGAATGATTATGTGGTCTTACTTCAGTCTAGTTTGAGGCAGGAATTTGGCACGGAAATAGCCTTAGTTGTTCTGGATCGGGAGATGGATGGAGAGTGTGGCCCTGTTGATTCTTTTTGGTCTCTCAGTGGCCTAGGATATTATCAGCTACTCTTACAGACTAGTTTTGTGTGTTGGGTTAGTATGCCAGAGAGATAATGACTGCACTCATACAGAGCTGGTTCCACAAAGTATTATTGGAAGATTTCTGTTTGACTTCATAAATTTGCACAGTTCAGCTGCTAGACGTCTGACTGGTTTACCGAGCTGTAGATACATTATGCCAATTATTACCCATTGACCTTTCAGCCCAGGCCAAGGTACTGGTGCTGCCAAAGGGCTAAGTGGCTTGGGACCTTAAATGCCTCAAGGAGCACCTTCATACTATCCTGCCAATTCATTTGTTCCCCCTTTTATTCATTTATTAGCTGCATAGTCTACTTTTCAAAATAAAACCTCTCACAGAGCAGATTATAACTATATAGTAAAATGCAAGAACAACATTCAGTATATATTAAGATCTTTAGTACCTTCTCGAAATGCATTGGCTAATACAGTGTGTGATATTTGTATGATGGAGAAGATATCCTTTGTGGTGGCACCCATACCTTGACTAAAGAAGCTTGGCACCAACTGCGTAATCTTTTTAGTGCTGAGTCAAGACATTTTTATTTGACCAAACATATTACAGCTGCCTACATTTTGGTTTTATGGGTTTGTTCCCTCCCAGTTTGTTATATGAAGTATGGTGTGATATGTTGTGTTTTCCTTGCATGTGTGTTATTTAGGATGAAGGGTGCTTTAGAAATTCTTAAACAAATTTACAAGAGAGCTGGTAGTTGCAGCAGATTCAGCAAGTTTAGCTACACCTTCCTATTGGACATATTTGGTAGGAAAACTCAGGTTTTCCTCTCTAATGAAATGGTCTTTTGTAGTTTTTATGTAAATGTAGGCATTTCATATAGGAAAATAAATACAAATTAATGAAAATTGGCATGAATTTTCAAATCTACATAAAGAAAATCCAACAGTTGGGTGGGACAATTGCCAAGGTATGCTGCCATGCTGGGCTTATTGTATTACTGGAAAAATATTTGACTTTTAACCTGTTTTTTTAAAAATAATATCATGGATAACATCTGTTTTTGTTTATCCTTTTTCTCCTCCTTCAGGCATTTCAGGAATTGTGAGATCGTCCAGTCTAATTCAGAGTGCTAAAACCATGCTAACAGCTGGTAAGGCCATGTGGTGCTGTGTTTTCTTGATGGATTTTACTCTCGAGGAAAAAAATACATGCAAGGCTAATTCTATTACAGAAATGAATAATCATCATCTTGCATAACTTGGGGCTGAGATGGAAGTCATGCCTGTTGATTCAAGGGCTTTCAGAACCAGCAGCCTGGTGAGGTTCAGGAGGTGTGGAAGATGATCCAGCAGCTGCTGGGCCCCGAGTGCTCAGCAGGAGATTCTGCCGTTCGGATGCCTGCCGTTCAGAGCATCTGTCCAGTCACTGCAGCAAACTTTGTCTTGCCATCTTGGCTAGCAAAGCTGCACTTGAGCTGCTGAGAAACAGTTTATCTGTTGGAATGGTGGCTGTGTGAGTTTGTAACTCACTCACCTTGGTACTGGAGTGTTAACCCAACTGTATTTTTAACAAGTACTCAAATGAGTATTAAGGGACTGCACTAAAATTCACTTGCCTAATTTTAATTAGTTTAGATGCTTGTTTTGATCAGAGCATGTGCTGTTTTGCACTATTTTTTCTTGAATGTCCTTTCCAACTTCCTTTAGGGGGAAGCCTATTAAAAGGTGATGTTAGAGCCAATTTACACTTTATAGTGGCAGGTGTGTTTGCCACGTTGTCATTGAGATTTATGGCTTCCAGCAGCTGGGGACCCGCGGTGGATGTGCTCGCTGCGTGCCATGCGGATAGCATTCTTGTAACTGTAAACTCAGTCGGGCTGCATTCATAGTTGGTTGAAAGAGCTAAATGGTATTTGACCATCGTTGCAGAAGAGTGGGTCAAATAATGGACTATGGGGAACTTGTCTCACACAGAGCTAAGCCATCGGTCTCTTCCTTTCTTATTTTCTGCATGAGCTCTCTGGGCTTTCAGAACGGAGTTGTCAGGAGCCCTTCCTGAAGATACCAGGGGCCAGACCTGGGACTTGAGCAGCCACTGAATGGCGGCCTTCCTTGGTGGGGCATCCTCACACCTACTGGGGGAACGGATCTCTACGTTGTGTGTTGAGCTCCTTCCACTCTCTCAGTAACACAGCCTCCTCCACCCTGGTGCACTCCGGATGTCTTGGACTGCAACTCCCAGCATTCCTGGCTGCTGGTCATGCTGTCCGGGGCTGATGAGAATTGCTGTCCACAACAGCAGGAGGATACCAGGTTGGGCAAGGCTGCTTCCTGGCCCTGATGCCACAAGCAAGAGCCATGTTGCTTATGCTGCAACAACTGGCATGAGTTGGGGTGGAACTGTGGGCAGCATCATGGCCTTGGGAAAGGCAGTAGACTGTGCTCCGTGTTACGGAGAGACACGGGGCAGCTTTGCAGAGGTTGCCTCTTTGCCAGTGGCTCCATTACAGGTATTATCTGTAGCTCTGCCTGGAGGAGGATTCCTGATCAGTTCTGAATATTTATTTGGCTAACAAAGTCATTTTTTTTTTTTTGTCTACACCTCTGCACATGTGCTGTGTGTAATTTGCATAGGAAACTCACTTGAAGAATTTAATTTTTCTTTGCACTTTCTTTCTTCATTTTTCTTTGCTATGCACTTTCCTGCAGAATAAGGAGGAGGCTACTGGGCTTCCTTGGTTGCTTTGTTTCCCTTATTTATGAAGATAATCCTTCGCAAGTTTCTGAAAAGATAGTGCGTTCCACAAGAGTCTGATCCCAGTTGAGTGGGCACTTCATAGATGAAGTGTTTGTGCTGCTGCCCACAGTGGGCATCTGTTTCAAAACTGCTTAATTGGCAGGAATCCCTGTGTGTCTTAACCCTGGCCTGCTAGCACACTTCAATTTCCTCGTAGATGAGCATATGTCTTCCCTGTATAGCCGCATCAATCGGAGCAGTACAGCAGATGCCTCAAGAACATAAACACAATTAAGTTTGGTTGCTGTGTGGGTGTTTTTCTTATGTACAGCTGTATACAAAGATACCGGTTTAACCACTTAAACATCCTTCTCTTGTTACAACTCTAATTCTCCTAATGAATCTTTGAACTAGCACAGGCTTGTATGAGTATTTCGTGCTGTATTATCCACCCATCTCCTACGCCCTTTTTCCTCTTTCCCACGCAGACTTTATTCAAATTTTAATGGCAGGCTTGAGGCAGGATTTTAAAGCCAGACCTTGCATTAGCAACTTGCCTTTTATCTCTCCCCACCCCCACCCCACACTCGTCCAGCAGCCATTCTGAATATGGCTGAATTCTGTGACATGGTTTATGTTGTCAGTGTTATTCAGCAATCCAGGAGTTCCTTGTTTCAGTATATTTTGTAAACGCTTAAGTCGTCACATGTCAAAGCGCAGATAAAATAATGCTTGTCAAATTCTGAAATATCTACAGACCATCACTTAGTACACAGAAAGATTCTAGATGGTACTCATTATGTAGCTAGCATATTCTGTGTGCAAACATAATTTGGCACTGAGCAAAACAAAGACCTTCAGCCATCTAACAGGATTTCCCTTCATTTTTCTCTGCCAGTGTGGTTTTAGACTAGTTTGAGCCCTATATTTTTGTTTACTGTCAGATGCCCCATTTAGCTTTTCCAAGAAAAAGACCTGTATGTTTTCTAAAATCTGTGGCAAGACTTCTGGTCTGGTTCCTATTAGAAGTGGCACCATCCATTGATTTATTTTTCCTCTTGGCCTTATGGTCTTTGGAACTTAAAGCTTTGAAAAGTTTTATATTTAGCTCCTTCTGAGGAACATTACATGGTTTGTTTCTTTAAAAAATAATATATATTATTGCATTTGGCAACCGTATGTGAAACAAAATCATGCTTTGTTATATTTTCAGTAATGATCCAGTCAGATCTAGCTTTTTGCCAAGACATGCATTGCTATTCCGTTCTGCATGATAACACTTCAAGGTATTCCCCGGTATGCTGGGCAAACAAATATCCAAGCATTTGGATTTTTATTTGCAACAATGTGTGTGTGGGGAAGAGAGGCAGAAGCAGCCTCCTCCAAGTAGGAGAGGCTCATGAGTAGTGTGTGGATGCGAGGTTCTGCAGCCCTCCGGCCTTGACTGCGTTCCCTCACCTTAGCATTGTGGTCGCCCTCCTTTATGTGTGGCCGCTTGTTGTCCCCTCACCACCTGGAAGCAGGGCTGGCCCTTCCATTGCACCAAGTGAGACACCCTCATGAGGCAGTGGGCCAGGCCTGCCTCTGCTGCCTCACTGCCCTCAGCATGGCCTCGGCACAGAGCTAATGGCAGGTGCCCTGTTGGCTTTGTCTTCCCTTCTCTTGAGAGATGTGAGCTGCAAGGAGTAGGAAAGAGGCCCCAGGGATCCTAAAGACGCGCTAGCTTTGCCCTCCCCTTTCTCTGACCATTGAAGGAGGCAGAGGCAGAAGTGGCACCGGTGAGCTTGCTCGTTCTCCCGGCTGCATATGCGCGAGACGCTCGGCAGACCAGGTCTCCCTTTGAGGCAGAGGCAGTCTTCACACAAAGGTCAGCTTTGCAGCAGGCCACACACAGGGTGATGGGAGGAATGAATGGCCCAGCAGCCTTATCAGTGGCATGGCCACCCAAGGGCAGTGTGTGATGGGCAAATGCCTCCAGAGGAGGCTCTGTCATGCGCTCTGTGTGAGGAGAGAGTCCTGGAGCATTGCTGGAAAATGTTTTCATAGCTGCTTGGGCAACACAACTCACACAGGCAGGCAGCAGTAGCCTTTGGAGCAGCCGCATTTTCCAGAAGTAGTGGTGTATTGCTGCCAAGGCAGTTTCAGACAGTCTCTTTCTCTCAGTGGCTACACTGGAGTTCCCAGTGAGTGGGGTGTGCCCCACACAACACCTGAAAGGTAGAGTGTTCCAGGCAGGGGATGGGGACCCCGTGGGGTAGCAAGGACCAATCCAGTACTACCAGTGGTACGTGTAACAAACTGTTGCAGCATGGAGTGCTTCCTCAGGACCCCGACAGGCCAGCTATGCCCTCTTCTGGACACCCCATTCAATCCCCCACCTGTTTTCTTTCTTCTCCCAACAGCCTGTTAGCCTTTTGCACCCACTGCACAGATTTAGTCTTCACTGGACTGTAGTGGGATGAGATTGTGCTTAAATTCTTCAAGTGTGGCGTGATATGAATTGAGGAAGGTGGGCAGGGCCCATCCTTCTTTGTAGAAGGATCAGGAGAGGAGGTGCATGTGACTAATGCTTCCATCCCCTTGCTGCTTTTAGGGTGCAAAGGTGCCTTTATTCTTAGGGTCTCATGGGGATGTCCCTTTGGTTGTGTTTGCCATACTGAGTGCCAATGTTGATGCCTTGCTGGGAAGGCAGAGAACGGCTCAGCTTCACTCTGAATGAAGAGCTTACTTTAGTGTGGACTGTAAGGTGCAGATCCTTGGCATCAGCCATGAAACATGACAACTGTTTCTCAGGCTATGTGGAAAGAAGAAATGGAAAGCAATGGATGCTATATCAGGCACAGATCTCGCCTGAAAGGCCTGGGCAGCAGGAGGGAGGAATGAGCCCATTTTCTGCAGAGTGGAAATACCAGGAAGTTTTAAAAGTGACAAATGGCTGGACTGAAAGGAAGTCCTTAAGCAATTTAGCGGGTGGGGGATTCAGTTACATATTCTCAGAAGTGTGCTGACTGAAGTCTTGAAGGTGGCCATCTTGGTCATCCTTTCAGCAGGGAGCACTACTGTGGTGTCTTGACGGCATGGTAGATTACTTAAAAGCAAGACATAGAAATTAAACTCTTCAAAAATCTATTGGGAACTAGTTACGATGGATTAATTGATGAATATGGTCAGATTTTCTTGATTTAAGAAATAGCCACAAAGTTGTTAGCTAGGCATTAAGTAAGATAAACACTAGTTGTTACAGCTGTTCTTACCTTCAGTAATATATCAAATATTTCTGAAATAGTTCCTCGGCTTTTTAATTGTACATTTAAATTAATGGAGAACAGCAATGAAGAATTTTCTTAGAAAAATCGGGGAGAAGAACAACATTGTGGTTAGCCATGTAGAAATTTAGTATTCTATTCTGGTTTAAAACTAAAAATTGCGAAGAATAAGGATGAGATCTGTTTAACACTGTATAGTAATCATATTGGATCTAGTTTTAGGCCTCATTGAGTTGAATAGTTCTACTCTAGGTAATATGGATTCAACCCATAGCCAGTAAAATGCAACATAAAAACAGTGGCCAAGTGTTAAAACAAAAAAACAGGCTAGCAAACTGAACTGAATTTGCTAAGGGAGTAATCTGAAACTTCTGGCGGATACTTGTGATTTCCAGATTTGAGATTACAGGCAGCACTGGAGTCCTTGCTCCCCTCTCCCTCGTGGTTGGTACAGAAAGGCGTGCTGGCTGTTCTCTGCGGCTGGGAATAATAAAACCTTGCAGTGGGGAAGAAGGGGGTCTTTTAATGGGTGCAGAGGGAGGAGATTGGAAAGACCCGGATCCTTGTTGTGTTAAGGCCTGCCCAGCCGCCTCCTTTGCAAGGCTGGTGCTAGCTAGGCAGAGCAGTGCGTGGAGCGAAAAGGCAGGGCAGGAGGATGCCAAGGTGCAGAGCCCCTTTGCAGCTTTTGTCCTGCCCTACAAGTTCCACATTCAGGGGCTTATAATCTTCATAATAGGGCTGTGTGCTACAAGTCTGCTGAATAAAAGCACCGACTGGGGGCCGACAAGCTATTCCACTGCTTTGGTGCCGCTCCTGTAAGCAGTGCTCTCTAGACCTTCATTTGCACTTCCACTAAAATGGCCCGAGTCACCTTCACAGCACCTGAACAATCTTACAGGCCTGCATGGCTGTGGACAGGCAAGAAGCTTTTGACTGAATGTAAAGGGCTGACTCAAGGATCATTAAAATTCTCTGCTCTTCTGATTTATATTCATTCATTATTGTTGTTTTATATATATTTCCTTTTAAGGAATGAAAAAATCGTTGACTTACAGCATGAAGAAAATGTATAAAATGTCAAAAGGATGGCTAAGGAAGACGTGACATCAGTGGATTTGGACTTTTTGAAAAATTGACTCATCTTCTTCTGATGAAAGGTTATTCCAGTTCTACCCATTGCACCACCTTGCCTTGGAAATTAAGAATACAAAGAAATGTGTTTGTGCTACTTATATATGGTCTTTTACTGAAGATAAACAGATCTTCAGTTTTGGCTTTCTTTCTGGAGTGGATTCCCACTGATACCACTGGCTTTTTTTTCCTTCCTGGCTTTGAGTGTCATCCTGTGTGTTCTTAATGCCTTCAAAATGTCCTCTTTTGCCATTTGTATGTTTTTTCATCGTCTTTGATCATGTTTGCAGCAACAGCTCTTCTGCAGGAGTGACTCATGGTCTTTCACCTCTCACTTCACCAAGGACTTAGGATGGTTTAATGGAACTTCTTGAAAAACACGGCACAGCGCTGCACTGAACTCTTTCACTTACGGAACTCGTGCTGTGTGGGGTGGCTTGTCAAGCAGCTTTGAAAAAGGTCAGCTGTTCATTTTTAAGGCATGGTTGACAGCAGCATAATTCACAGCCAAATGTTGGGGAGTGGGTCGTATTTCAAAATAAGGTCAGGTTATAGTATAGCTTCTGGGTCCAATAATGCGTGGGTGTTTGGATATATAATTTAGGAGTTCTGCTGCACTGCCAGTTCAGAGAGAGCTTTTAATGTCAGGTTATGGTTAAAATCAGAGAACAGTTATCCTACTCCTTCAGGTATAGGTTGCTTTCCTCCCCTACTGCTCCATAGCTATGAACTTTTACTGGGCACAAACAAGGGCAACCAAAGTTTGCATTTTCTTTAAAAGTTAATAGAAAAATCCATCGTTGTCAGTATTGCTTTATTATTTCACAGAGGATTAAAATAGCAGCATTGAGCCTAAAAATAACCCATCATGGGGCAAAGTGAGAATATGTATTACTCTGGGGGAGTGAATTTGCCTGTGTCTTATCCCCCTCCTCCTCCTGTTTATGCCTCCTATGCCCCATTTTCCAGTCTGCTTGCTTGAAGCAGGTTTACTACTTCCAGAGGTGTTTACCACAAAGAGAAATGGCTATGGGTAATTGGTCTGTTCGAAGGCATCTTTGTAAGTGGCCTTTGCATTGAAAGAGAGGTGATATAAGGAACTTGGTGAGATGGAGCTAGGGAACTAAAAAGAATATTCCTTTTGAAGCTTATACCTTGATAAATGGTTATATGTTCATGTTAGTTTAGGAGGATTTCAAGATTTTAGGTTAAAAATGTAGTTTTAATTTAATTGCAGGCCACCCTCATGGGGTCTCAGGACAGCTAATAAAAGTACATAAATGTGGACTAGAGGACCAGCCGACATAAGGGCCTAATAATTCATAACAGTGTTTTTTCAAAAATGTAAATTAAGCTTTCTATTTCTGTGGTAATAACAATAGGAAAAAGCAACAACAGAATGGAATATGTCTTTAAAATAGTATAATAGGTGCATACACAATGGAAGTTTCATACAGAGTGAACGTTATCACCAGGTGTGAGGTTTATAGCAGTGGTTCCCAGACTTTTTTGGTCATGGAACCTTTTTGAATTTTTTTTTTCCCATGGAACCCTAAGTCTACCCCTGATTTTTACTAAGCATCGTGAACCCACCATGTTCTTCCTTCTTTCATCTGCTGCTACTACCAGAGTGCTTTGCATAATATACTAGGTTTGGAAATAAAAACATTTTAAATATAATGAATGAATAAAGTGATTATATAGTAATTTCCCAAATGAATTCTTTCAATTATTCCCTACACTGTGTAATAGAGTCCTAGGAACCAAATGACACAAGGCATTTCCTTGTTTGCCACCCGGACTCCAACTGACAAATAGTTGGCCTTGTATAAATGGGTTTTAAATTTGATGTTGAGATTTTCCATGGAACTCCCTACAAGGCTTTTGTGGAACCCCAGAGTTCCACAGAACACAATTTGGGAACTGCTGGTTTATAGTATTTTGGTATCTTGTTCTCTTGCTCAATCTTAGAAAAAATTGCTCATGTTTTACTGCTGTTGAAATGGGGTATAGGAGGGCGTTATGTCACGAGTTTACAGGATGATTGTGTGCTCAAACAATGAGGGTATGCCTGATCATTAATTTATTAAATAGCAACATTAGGATGGTTCACAATACTAGGCATGCACTGTGGGCCACCTGTCTTTTAAGGAGTACTTTGTGAAATCCCCTGATCACTTTTTGAAATTTGAAGGCTCTCGCATGTGGAAGTATGCATCTTTCTAGATTTTAGTTCCAGCATCTAACTCAGAAGGGTGACACTTGGCACATCTTAAATATCAGAACTTTGCTGAGTTGGTTTACTAAACCAACTGAAAAGCAAAAAGTTGCAGTCCTGCGTATAACATACTGACTTTGATATAGTGGAATTAAGGCTGCCATTGGGCAGCAGCAGATGCTAGTCATTATACATAAATGGGGCAGACCCATGTTTCATATTGGACTGTGGGGGTATAATTAGATGTTACCCCATATGCAAGCTTTGAGAAACAGTTCCATGTGCCAGTGCTGTCCCTGAGGTAGTTTTATTTTTAGGAAAACCAGGAAAGAGCAAGCTGCTGCTTAATCTCTTACAGGATCTTGGTAGAACTGCGTGCAATTCAGGACAGTTGATAATAATAAGGTAGCCAGGTTTGGATGGCCATGGAACAAAGGGGTTGCATCTCACTACTGACATTCTGCTGACGGAAACAGCTGCACCAGTGGAAACAGGAGCGGGGCAATTCCTTTCCCCCGGGCCTCTACTGGACAACAAAAAGACTGGGAGACACTCTGGGGCAGACTCTGGGGGAGCACAGAGGGCTTCAGCAGGAAGGAGGAAGGATGAGCTCCCTTATTCCAGCAGATCTTCCAGTAGTGTGATGCATGGAATTTGACCCTAAGGTCTTGTCTGAATAGCACAGTATATGAAATTCACATGATAAATGGAACTGACTGGTGCTGCCACCTGCCCACACCCCATGGTGTCCCGTATTTTTAAACCCTGAAGCTAGTCATGCCAAAGCCCCATAATACCGGGTTATTTGTGTATTTATTTAAAATATTTACATGGTATTTCCCTTGTCTTCCATTGTAGGATAATGCTGAGGAAACCAAATTGATTTCATTGTCTGTCAATTACTGAAATGGCTCCAGAAAGCCAGTCTCATCAAAATGTTTCTGGAACTGAATGCTACTTGCTGGGGGCAATTTGCCAAAAAGTAGAGAGGTTAGCCAATGGCTGACAGTACCTGCAACTGACAGAGTCCAAGGAGGACATCTGAAGACGTGGCACTACTTTATTTTAGAAAGGGAATAAATCCTAAGGCAAGCCTACAGGAGAAAATTGCATTGCTAATGCTATGAGATGAGCAGTTCATAAGGGATGAGACTTCAGATCTAAATGAAGGCAAGGCAACTATTATTCTTAAAGGACTGGGACCTTAGTGGTTGTGTGCGTGCGTGTGCATACAACATTGAGACTTCATCTTGCCTTCCTTGCTCCACACCCCATCTGGCTTTGGTGCCTTTCCTCCTTGCTTTCTTGGTGAAAACATTTTTTCTGTGGATATGTATCTCTGTATTATATAATTGCATCTCAATTAATAAAATAATTGTATGAAAAAGAGAATACCGTGTCCAGAGCATTTTCTGCTTTAAAAGTCAATGTCTGTTAATAGGTACTTGGAGAGGGTACAAAGGGATCCACAAGTCTGGGGCCAAAGTCTGGCTTCCTGGAGTCATGACCACCTTTAGGATTTCCCAAATCATAGAAGAGTAGAGTTGGAAGGGGCCATGAAGGCCACTGGGTCCAACTCACTGCTGGTGCAGGACACCAAGTTGCACCATCCCACTCAGATGGCTGCCCAGTTTCTTTTTGGATGTCTCTAATGTGGGAGAGCTCACAACCATGTCTCTTCCCTTACCCCCACCCTTTGTCTCAATCACTAATCATGTAGTGGTTTTCCAGCTTTTGTGCAGCTGAAATGCCCTTCTTGAGCCCTACTTACTTGCAGTTGGAGCTTTAAGATAAAGATAAAATAAGTCTTACAATAAAAACTTTGCCCCTTCCATATGCCTTTGGCCCTGCCCACCACTGGAATGGCCCTGCCTCCTGAGAACTTCTCCAAAGTTTAATCCAGCCCTTTGGCTGAAAGAGGTTCCCAACTGCTGGGCAGCGTGGATTTTTCCTCAACTCTTCCAGAATGTATTTAAGGCAGTACTCACACCACTCTGTAAATCCCAACTATCCCAAAATTTTAAGCTCTTAAATTTCCCTTCTCTCCCATTAAACCAAAGGCCCTTGAGATGGAATTGATATGATTTTATTTAATAATTGCTGAAGAGTGATAAAACATGCTACTAGTTTATTGTGGCAAGAGCCTCTGCAAGCATTCACTTATGCTTTCATGTTTGGTACATGCTGAATTGGCCGTGGTATCCTGGATAGGCTGGCCGGTTTGGGAGTTGGAGGCACTGCTTTGCAGTGGTTCCACTCCTACCTGTCTGGCCAGTTCCAGAAGGTGGTGCTGGGGGATTAGGTCTGGGTGCCATGGCAACTCTGTCATGGAGTTCTGCAGGGTTGCATTTTATTCCCCATGCTCTTTAACATCTACATGAAACCTCTGGCAGAGGTCATCCGAGGGTTTGGACTGTAGGGTCATCAGTACACTGGTGACACCCACTTTTACCTCTGTTTTACATTTAATCCAGATGAGGCAGTGGCTGTCCTTAACCGGTGCCTGGCTGGGGTAGTGGGCTGGATAAGGGCCAACAAACTCAGGCTTAATCCAGACAAGACAGAGGCCCTGTTGGTGGGCGGTTCAGCCTTCTGAGTAAGTGACTTTAGCCTTGTCCTGGACGGGGTTGC